TTTTTTTTTTTTTTTTTTTTTCAAACGATAGGAAATGCTCATAAAACGAATCAAAGTTTGGTACATGACCGCCGAGCCTACCTACGGGTAGAAAATAAACTGGGAGACGCACTACAAGCAGTGGTCTAGATACAAACCCACCCGAGGGTATCAAGCAGGCACAACCACCCGAACCTTGACACACCTACGACACAACCACATCAAACCACCCTTACTAACAAAGCAGGTCCTAAGAACAAGAAAAGAAAAACAACACATCAACAAATGACCTGCTATCACCTAGAACAAAAAGAAAAGACTACTACCAGACCAAATTAACCAAACTAGACCATCACAGCAACCGCAAAGGAAGAGAACAACTTATCATCACAGAAATGGAAATGTTTAACCAACTGCTCTAAACTCCTTCCACTCCCTCATAGCTCTTTTCAGAATGATATGCACTGGCACTATTTCTTTGTTGAACACCCACAGGTTTCGAGACCTCCAAAGCCACCATAGGATATATGTTGATAGTTGGATTCGGGCTTCGGAAGTTTCGGTTTTGTTTATAGCGCACACTTGCCACCACCATCCCTTGAAGCTTATGTTCTGTAAGTTAATGCCATCCCAGATCAGTGGAGCCATCTTCCATACACTCTTTGCTTTGTTGCAATGCAAGAATAAGTGCTCTATAGTTTCTTCAGCTTCTCCACATACAGGGCAAATAGCATCGACTTCAATTCCTTTCCTCTGTAAATTCACCCTAACAGGTAACACACCAGTGAAACACTTCCAAATAAAGTGTTTAAGTCGACTCCTAATATTTAGCTTCCAGCTTCTATCCCTCACAGTAGTGTCCACTCTTTTGGATGTGCTGCTTTCTGGGATATCAAGTTTGAGTACTTTTTCCTTGACCAGATATGAGTAGGAATCTGCCACTGTGAATGTACCTTTGCTGCTAAGTTCCCATTGCCATTTATCCTCACTGTTAGGGTCAGTATTTTTAATCTCCAGAATTTTTGCACTGGTTTGCTGTGAGAAGAGATTCTTCACCAATGCTGCATTCCATCTTCTCCCAGTATCATCAAAAAGTTCAGACACCCAAACAGGCTTGGATACCACTCCCTGTTGGAAGTTAGGAGCTGCACCACCAAGTCCTTTCACCCATCCTCCATCTGAGATTTGAGTTTGTTGCCCTGATTTAATCTCTTTCCAGCAATGTGATTTGAAAATAGGTAGTACTGTCAGCCAATTGGACCATAGCCAGGAGGATGATTCTTTTCTCTCAGCTTGGAACAGGGATGAATGAGGAAAATACTTACTTTTCAGGATTTTAGATACAAGCAAGTTGGGTTGAGTTGTAATTCTCCAAAGCTGTTTTAACAACAAGGCTTCATTAAAGAGTTGGATATCTTGAAATCCCAACCCTCCTTGCTGTTTAGGCAATGTAAGCAGATTCCAGTTCTTCCAGTGAATGCCTCTCTCCTGAGTTCCTCCTTTGCTCCACCAGAATTTAGCTGTCATACTAGCTATCTCCTTGCAAATCCCAGCAGTAAGTTTAAAGCACGACATAGCAAAGACTGGTAGTGAGTTGATAACTGCCTTGATTAGAACCTCCTTGCCTGCAGTGGATAGGTATTTGTTTTTCCAACTCTCCAGTCTATTTCTGACAGCTTCAGTGACAAACTCAAAGGTCTCCTTCTTTGATCTACCAATTCCAAAAGGGAGTCCCAAATACCTTGATGAGTTGTGAGCAGTCAGACCATCAAGCACTTCACATATCTCAGTCATGACCTCAGGTGAGGTATTCTTGCTAAAGAACACTGTAGATTTAGTCAGGTTAACTTTTTGTCCAGAGAATTGCTCATACACCTGCAAGATGTCCATAAGTAAGAGAGCTTGTCCCATATCAGCTTTGCAGAACACTAGCAGATCATCAGCAAATAAAAGATGTGTCAACAGGGGACCTCCTCTTGCCAATCTTAACCCCTTGAACACCCCTTGACTTGCAGAAGAGGAGATGAGAGCTGATAAAGCTTCAGAGACAATCAGAAANCATGCCTTATTGACAACTTCCCATATCCCTGGTTTGGAGAGCCATCTTTTGTCAAATTTGAATCTACTCTTGTGCTTTGCTTTTGGTATCTCAGTTTGAAGTGTAAGCATCCCATGGTCTGAGGCACTTTTGAACATGTTGTGGCTTTTGGAGTTAGGATATCTAGTCAGCCATCCCAGGGAACCAAAGGCAATGTCCAGCCTTTCTTCTACCATGCCTTCCTCTTCTCTATTATTGCACCAAGTGTACTGGTAACCACTCATGGGAATTTCAGTCATGCCCATTTGATAAATGAAGCTCTGAAAAGGTAGCAGACTTCTAGTAGATCTCGGCCGCCCTCCTTGTTTATGCTCAGCCATGTAAAGGTCATTCCAATCACCCACAAGACACCAATCTTCCCCCCATTTATTTTTGTCATCAATCAAACTCTGCCACTGGATACTCCTAACAGAATTATCAGTACTTATATACACAAAAACAATCCAACATGGATCTTCATTACTAGTACATTGATATTGCACTTGAATACAAAAGGAAAATTTTAACACCTGCAACACTATTACATTCATATCCCAACATAAAAGAAGGCCACCTTTAGTGCCTACATAAATTTAGAATGGTAAAAGAATAATTAAATTTTTTGGGTGTTGGAATAGACATTATGTGTTGCTGTAATTGGGAAGAATTAAAAGTGTCTTTTTGCAACAGGTATAAATGGCGTATTGCGGTCCATACCTTGTTAATTTGTACAGGCATTTTGCGAAGGAAAGGTTAAGTGAATTTGTTTTATTTATAGATCGTCTGGATGTTCATTTCGCATTCCGGGGAGGTTATCATATGAACAATTGGTGGAAATGATTAATGAAAATTGTCGATTTAGAGAAGGCTGAACAATTCAGGAGATTACTTTAATTGTTATCCAACTTGATGGTTCGTTGAATTTCGCAAGACTCAATAACGATAGTGTTCTCAGTATATTTATTACCTTCCTCCTATGTACATGGTGTATTTGCATTTATCGTTGGAGGCAATTACACCAGTTACACAGTTTGAGGATGTGTGGGGATGTTACGGGGAAGTGGTTGATGTTGAGGGTACGTCGACTTCGCGTCTATGTAATTTTGGAGAACGGACAAGCTGAACAATGCAATGGGAAAATGAGAACTGAGAAGAAGAAGAAGGCGATGAGTATTTCATTCCTGGTGAAGATGATTTCACAGATAAGACCTCCGAAAGAGAATCAGACAGATCGATAAATGAGGAGAGTGGACCCGAATTGATTGAAGAAGAAGACCCTCTTCCTAGTGGTGGTCGCCACATTTATCGCGAGATGGGTGAATGAGAGGCATCGAAGATAGATGAGAACAAGTATGCTCTTCCATTTTGGAAGGGCGACATTGAGACCATAGGTTTGGGTACAGTTTTTAGGAGCAAGGAAGAAGCACAATCGAGTATCTTGGCTTGGAACGTTGATAGGTTGAATTCTGTTCGGACAACAGATTCTAATCAAAAGTCATACAAAGTGGTCTGCAAATCTAATGAAGTTGAACCTTGTCTGTGGAAGGCTCGGGTGACTAAGAAACGAGTTCATGAAATGTGGGAATTAACTGAATGGACTGACAGACACACTTGTA